GGGAAGGGATTCTGCTTGAGAAATGTGCCAAGAACCAAGGGTCTCCAGCCTGCAGTTTTCCTTGTGAGCAGTAGGTAATGCACAAAGAGGGTGATTGAAATTGACTTGAGGACTATGCCCTGCCCTTTGGGGAAATACCAGACCCACCAAGCTAGGAACTGGGTGGAGGGTTGGAACTCAGCAGACCCCTGGCTTTTCCCAGGTACAGGGGCTGGACACATCGGGAGGAGACTATGTAAACAGTTCCTTTCTCTGAACCAATAAATATAAAGGCCAGTTCTCAGACCTCAAAGTCGAGGTGTGCTCCCATCACAGCCCTGGGCTCGGACTCTGGTATCATGTAACAACAATACAGAAATATCCTTGACACCAGCTGCTTCCAGCTTCTGGGCTTTTGTATGTTGTCTAGACACACAGTGATGCGGAGGCTGCTGAGACTCTTGCTGCCCCCTCCCACCATTTCCCTTCCCCCATTGACTAATCCCACTCTGAGCCCAGTCCCATGTGACTACAGCTAGACAGAGTCACATACCCACTGTGTACCAGAAAGCAAGCCACTCACTTGGCTGGCCTGAGAACCCCTGAGGGAAAGGTGCCCCAGCATTGGATCCTGCCCCTGCAGGTGAGGGTCTAAGCCTGTAGTACAGACCTTTGTTAGGTCTCCTGGATGATTCCCTGGCTTTTCTGGGTTTGCCATGCAGGTGTTTTATTCCCTTGATGGGCAGGAAGTCCCTTCTTTTATCCAACCTAAAATCTCTTCAACCTTAATTCAAATGCATTTCCTCTTGCTGTCCTCCATGACATTCGAGACCCTTACTTTCCTCCTCCTATTCCCGGCAGTCATTTCTTTAAGTCCAAGATGATTACATGCACCTGGTGAATGAGTTAGATCCTTTTGTAAATCACCTCAGTGATTTGTATGGCAAGTGAATTGGGTTTTCCTAAATCCGATTTTCCTAAATCTGCATAAGGTCCCTATCTTGCTGGGGTTTGTACACATAGTTTCAAAAATAGTCAGGTTTATTTGTTCAAAACTTGACAAGTCACAGAGCATTGGCTCACTTCCCATCTTCACAGCAGCCTTTGGAGTCAGACTAAATAAGGACTCACATTTTACAAAGAGGTGTCAGGGTCCCACCCAGAGCTCTTCGGACTCCAAGTCCAGGCTGTTTCTCTACTCCACAGCTGCCTCCATGGGAGGTCCCAGAGGATGACCCAAGGGGCAAGGGTGTGAGGGGTGCTAGGGAGCATGCCCAGGATTAAGCTGTTGCCACCAAGTCTCGGTGTGGCACTCTAGAATAAGCACTGGACTGCACGGTCAGTTTGAACTACAAGGTCAGCAGTTCAAACCCACCAGCCACAACTTGGAAACCCTGTACAGGGTCGCTATGAGTCAGAACTGACGTGGCGACACTCAACAGAAATAACAACATGGACCCTGCTCATCACAGGGACCACAGGGCTTACACCCCAGGCCACTAACACTCATGACCAAAGATTGCATGACACTGTGTCTTCTGGAACTGGGGTCATAATGTCCATTTAAAAAATCCCCACACTGTTTATTCACCAGCATTTGCTGAGCCCCCACCCTCAATTAGGAGCCACATCCCCTCCCTTCTTCATGACCTGATCGGGGTTGGGACCGTTTCTGGTCCCTCTGGTAAGTCTGCATACCTGGAGGAAGGTCCCCTCTACTAGGCCAGCTGATGGTGAAGGATTGCAGGGTGAGTATCCACAGAAAGCCCCCTCAGGACAGAAACTAGCCCTCAGAGAGTAATGAGTGTGAATATTCTCACTTTCTCCCCTGTTTCTCCTGCTGAGGTTCCAGCCTAGAGGGGGAGAGAGGGCATCTTCAACAGCTCCCTTGTGTAACCAGCCAGCATTCAGTATGTGGAGTTACTCTGATTTCCCAAGAAAAGAAAATTATATATCCCTAATGCCTTCCCAGCAGGAACAACTACCCACAAGTTTGTACAGGAAGTGGTTTTCCGGGTTCTTTTCCTAAGCAGCCAGCCAGTGCCATTTGCTTTTCATGGGTCTTCCCAAAGATGCACGGGTTTCCAGATGGCTAGTTTGTGGGCTTCATTCAGCATGCTGTCTGGAGCCTGGGTCTCCTGCCTTCAGACACAGGAGGGGAGGCATGTTGACTATGGAGATCAGAGGTCCCTCTAACTGCCCCAGCCCCTGGGGTACTGGCTCACTATCAGAAGCCTTGAGAGAGAAGACTAAGGCTGAGCACCTGCCGACTGCACCCTCTAGTGGTACCCTGCCACCTGATCTTTCACTCTGTCTGGGGAACATTTGCAAGGTGACTTTGAGCTAAGGCTCAGACATTGGCACAAACAAGCATATAATAAAACAAGACTTGGGAGGGTTTTAAGATGCATTCTAATACAGTGCTTTCTCCACAGTAATTTTAGTGTCATTTGATGGAATGTGACTGAACAGGGCAGGGAGGGTGAAATTCCCTCCTGGTCAACGCTTAGCTTCAGACCTGAGTACACAGGGATGGGAGAGGTTGCCAGCAATGGCAATGATACTGACAGCCTATGGCAAGGGTGTCTGTGGCCAGCATCCGTCCATGGCCTCCTGTCGCTAAGGTTGCTTCTGTTGGCTAAATTTGTCTTTCAGCAACTCTCTCTGCTTAAAGAGACTAAGTCCAAAACCTTCCCTCGCCCCATCCCTTCAACAGGTGGCCATGCCCAATAGACTTATCCGACCAGAGGAGAAAAAACAAAACCTCTTTGTGTCCATCTTCTACCATGCACCCTATTTCCCTAAAACAGAACAGACTAGTTACTGTGGGTTAAGAGGAGAAGCAGCTGCCTAGATAGACCAGGAGTCTGTGCTCTGAACTCTTTCCATTTCCCAAGCCCAGAAGAAAAAGTGTGTGCGACAAGATAATACTGTCTTTTGAATATCTCAGTGTGATATTTGCCTCCATGAGTGAGAAGGGCCAAATGTTATCTGCGAGTTTAATCTTCTCTATTCAAAAATCCCCTGACCCCTTTGTCTGGCAGCACATTCCCAAATAAGCCATTCACTTGCTCAGAAGCTGCTATAACTTTTTTTCTCTTTCTCTCTCTTAAACCTGCCCTTGCTTGCCATTGGCCAATTTATTCATTTCTCAGCCACAGTTTTCAAAGGAGTCTCACTTTGGGACTCCCTGCCCCAAACGACAGTGGGGAAAATACCTTTGGGTTTTCTTTGTGGGGTCAGGAGCCAAGCAAAGTTTGGTTGGCCTCCTTTGTGTCTTCAGGTCCCAGTCTCAGTCTCTTCTTGACCTGGCTTGGGTGCATCATCTGTCTCTTTACCTCCCAGTAACAAATGGTCAAAAATCCACTACGGCTTCCCACCACAGGCCCCTGGGCAAGGCTGCAGCTGAGAAGGGACTCAGGAGATGTTCTTCCCTTCTACCCTCTTTGTAAGGAGCTGGTCAGAGGACAGAGGGAGATGCTGAAGAAGATTAAAGAAATGATTGCTATGAGGAACAGCCCCTCATTGCTGAGGAAGTGGAAATGATTTCTTCAGGTCTTTAGTTGTAGCCCAGAAGTAGCTGGCCAGAGATTCACCTTGAGCTTTAACAATTTACTTTGGCAATTTTAAACAAACAAACAAACTTTTTTTCTCCATTATGGAAAAGAAAATGAAGTTGAAGCTATTAGGGGGAAATAGACAAATGAGACAAAATTACCCTGGTTGGGATAGGTTGGAGAAAGGTGATGGATATGAAGGAGGTCAAGGGAGTGGACAAGAGATGCCCTAGTACCCAACACCATCGCTCTCTAGCTGTGTAGGCATGAAGTCCCATTTCTCGGTAGCAATCGGTGTGTATCCCGTATTTAATTATTCTCCATCTGGATTCTATATCTGAGGATAACAAACAGAAAGCAGGCATTTAGGTCAGGTATGCTCTTGCTATGAATTGGTTCTGTCAGTACGCTCTGCATTCATGCTTTGTCTTTTTTGTTTGTTTTAAAATGAAAGGAAAAGAAAAGTTTAAACCCCCCTTCCCTTCTACTGCAGGAGGTGAGTGTGTGGGTGTCCTATTGAGTCACCCCAGCTTCAGCCCCAGCCTCCAGGTGCACCATCCCCACCCCATCCCCTCCCTCCATCCCCTGTGCTCCACCCAAAAGGGAATCTTCTCCTGTCATCATTACTGTTGTGTTGAGATGCCCAGGATTTCCATTACATATGCCATCCTCCAACCACCTTCAGTACTGACGACTTTCATGCAGGGGAATGAACGGGAGCAGGGGAGGGGGGAATAGCAGGAGGGGAGGGGGGATGATTTGGAGGGAGATGGAGAACAGAGATCTTTCTCTCTCTCTCTCTCTCTCTTCCCCCCCCCAAACAAATTTGTCATTTAATGGATCCAAAAACAAACCCAAAAGAAAAAGCGAAACAAACAAAAAATCGAAACTCCCCTCCCCAAAGATTTTTTTTTTCCTGGACACAAATTGCTTTGTTTCCTGTCACGTTTTAATATCAATATTAACACAATGTGTAGTCTAAAACTAGTTCCTTTGTAGTTTGCATGGGATGTGAATGCTGTCTCAGCGTGCCCAGATCTAGAAAAGACTGCATGAGCATCAATTCAGATGTGAAAAACAAAAAACAAAAAACAAAAACCTCTCTCTCTCTCTCTCTCTTCCATATATATCTCTATTTTTATTGTGATAATTTGGTGGGCAGTGAAGCACCCCCGGTTGGTTGCTTTAGTGTGTTGAATGATTGTTTTATTTCCTCTCTATTTTTGGAGCTCCGAGCTTCTTAGTAGTAGCCTGGGCTGAGTCTTCTTGAGTCCTTGCTGATGTTCTCGCATGGCCTTGGTTGAGTGTTAGAAATTGGGCCTCAGCTGTATTTCTCGAGTGTTTGGCTTGTAATGACCAGTGCATGCCTGGCTTCTGGCCTCATACCCAGCTCTATTCTCTGCACACCAGTCCTGAATAGCTACAGTGCTCAACCGAATTTTGGCGCGCCCGCTTCCCCGGCAGGCTCCAACCCGGCGCGGCCCGGAGGCTTCCCGGGGGCCAACAGCCCAGGACCTGTCGCCGATCTCTATGGCCCTGCCAGCCAGGACTCCGGAGTGGGGAATTACATAAGTGCAGCCAGCCCACAGCCGGGCTCGGGCTTTGGCCACGGCATAGCTGTAAGTACCTGCCCTCCTGCCTCCTTCCTGACCAACTCCTTGTGGCCTGTGGGGAGGGTGCCCCAGGAAAGCTCAGATGTGGACAGAGAAGGGGCTCCCATCAACAGCATGTCAGCTAGTGGGCCTTCCATTTGCCAGCTTGAGCTGAAGCTCTGTGAGACTTCTCCTGAGCACCTCTGTGGACCAGGTACTGTGCATGGGGCACGGGATGGGGTAGAAGGAGCATGGGCAGGCCAAGGGACAAACTACCACTCCATCCCCTGCAACTTTAAGACTGTGGCTGACTGAAGTAACTCATCTGAACCTCAGTTCTCTGCCTGGCTGCGAAACGAGAATAATCATGACTCCCTGACGTGGCAATGTCCCGAGCCTGAACAGGAAGTCTGTGCCCCATGCTTATTAGTATCTAGCTGATCCTCAGTGTTAGCCCCTCCTCTGGTCTCTGCTTTCTGGAGACGGTAGTGTGGTTTTCCTCAGAGCTGGGACCCTCCACGCCCACCCCCTGGAAGCAGCCATTGTCCTTAGGGTCCCAGAGGCAGCACTGGGACCTGGGAGGTGTGGGATGTGGGCCCTGTCCCAGATGGTTTCCTTCACTAATGTTTCTTACAGTTTCCAGGTTCCAAGTAAGTTCCCACCCAAGTTCTTTAGCTGCGGCCCCGAAGGCCAGATGCATTTGATATTTGTAATGCTCTGTGGTTCTATAATCTGACTAATCCAGGCAGTGGAAATTTGCTTAACAGATTTGCATGCTGTTTTCAGATTGCATTGTCCTTCTCCCTCCTAGTGTGTGTGAGCATGAATGTGCCTGAGCCCACTGACTCGCTGTCCCTTCCATTTTGGAATCAGAAAACCAGCCACCTGCTGCCCCAGCCCAACACAGCATTTTGGAGGCAGCTTGTTTTTGAGCTAAAATGGTAGTGACTGCGGTCCCAGGTCATGTCCCTGTCAGACTCGAACCTGCCTCGGGGACTGCGCTGGGGAGAAGAAAAGAAATGCAGACATAGTCTGAGGCATCAAACACATACTCACATACACTCAGACCACACGTCAACTTTATACCACACGCTCTCTCATCTACACACGCCATACAAACACTCCACACAAACCTCTCAGGTGTCACACACTTACACACACATCATCTCTCACACAAACACATTCCACACACACCACATTCATACCACATACTTACCACGTTTACATACTCACACATAACACACCCATACACATTCTTATATGTATACACTTTATCACATACACACACATCACACACAAGCTAACACACACATACACGAGACACACATCCACTCACACACACTTCTGCCAGCCCTGACCCATGTAGTCTAGGTCCTTGTTCAATTCCATTCCCAAGCCAATATCACTTACGTCCGTCAGATCCTCTCGGATCAGCTGTAGTCCCTAATCCAAAATATTATGATTCAGCATAGTGCCACATCAATTTGGGGGACCATCTAGCACCACTGAAAAACATGACTCACTTCCATTTACAGCTTCCAGAAACACAAATCCTGTCTGTTCTTAAAAACCTGAGTCTTTAGACTTACGTGCTGTCCTGGTTTTCTGGAATAACCACACAGCGTCACATTTTGTCTGCATGGGGCTTCTCCCCAGCCAGAGCAGTTGGGAGTGTGAACACAGACGTTTGGTGTCTTTACTCTCTGGGGTTCAAGGCAATGGCCCCCACCATTTGGGGCATGAACTTCCTTTCTCCACCACCCACTCCACTTCCAAATCTGGCTCTTGATTTACCCCATGGGTAAGCCAACGGACTTGGGGTGGAGGTGGAGGAGGAAGCAGGGTCTAGTGGGGAGGAGCTGGGAAGGATGTCATCCTTGACCCCACAGCACGGTGTCTCAGAATTACATATTCATGCTGGCAACCACAGACTAGTTCTACAGATCATTTCCTCTCCCAGAATATGACAATCTGTTCCCATGTATAGTGCCCTGATGACCTTAACAATTGTGCAATTTTAGGGACCTTTGATTGCAACGGCCTTTACAAATGGATACCATTGAGCAGGTGCTTTCGTTACCATCTTACTCTGAGGTATTACCGTCTCTGCCATGTGTCTCCGCCCTGCTGGGCGTGTCCATACATGTATGTGCACTGGTCATACATTTAAGCACACGCCCTCATCTCATCATGTCAACATCTCTTCCTCTCTCCTCTTTCTGGACCCCTTTTTTAGGGGATGGGAGCAAAAAATAATCCAGCCTTTTAATCTGACCCCTTTCTCCAGTTTTAATCACGACACTGCCTCCTTTTGTTACTCTCTCTTTCTGTTCCTTGATTTGGTTTCTTTGGACTCCTTTTCTTTATCTTCCCTACCCGTCATCTTTTTTCTGTCTTAAAATACAATCAAGAGTGTGGGAAACTGGAAGGAGAGTTTATGATGTGTCCATCCCTGGAGGGATGGAGATAGGAAAATTCTGGACTTCCCGTCAGCCCTGGGAGGGGGCCAGGCTACCCCCACATGTCCTGAGAGCTAACCTTGTGGGTCGCTGTACCCCTGCAGCTCTCCAAGGGCTCATGGGTGTTTGGGTCAATGGGGTCTGCGCTGTCAAATAGCCAGACTCCATCTTGTAGTGAAAAGAAAACATTTTTGCCTGTAACTACTGAGCAATTATCCAGATTACGGCACGAGAAGCAAATTAAATTAACGACATCACCTGCGTAACGTGGGTTTGGATCCCTGCCAGTTTCCTAACCTTTTACACTGAGCTCCAGCTAATTAAACATTTTCAAAATCACTTTGATGGGGATATGGAGCTGGTGGGATGGAGGAGAGGGGAGGGTGGGGCAGTCAGTGTGGAAGCAAGCCTCTTGCCACATTCTCATTTGAAAATGCTATTATCTGTGATTCGTGGGAAGGACAGCAAGAAGGGAGAAGGAGCTGTCCTTGTAAAAACACTAAATGCATATGGTGACTGCATGTCAGCGTCCGGGTTAAAATATGGATCTGTCTTTTTGGGAGAGAGAGGGGCTGCAGCTGAGGTCTGGGAGTGGGGCACTCTCAGCAAGCCCTAGCTGAGGCATGAAAGCTGAAGGAGGCTTTTACTTTTGGAGCTGGACACAGATGAAGTGAGGCTAGGGATGAATTGGCCACTTTAGGTTTACCATTAATAGTACACCGCTTTTATAGAGGAGGGGGGACGCTGCAGGCCATGAGTCAGCCAGGATTCTGTGGGCTGGGATCTCTCAGGGAATTTAGTTGAGTCAAGCTCCGTAAATCTTTGAGATTTCTCTAATGTTGCTGCTAAGAAATCTTGTCAACTAACAAAACCGCCTCTCTTAACCAAATAAGCCACGTGTGTGAATTCTGCCCCTGCCCCACCTTCCCTTTGAGTCCAGACTCAATCATCACTGGCCAGAGCCATAGGCCAATAATAGTTTGAAGGAGAGCCTTACTCACTGCTACTTAAGCTAGGTTAGGGGCCCCCAGGGAACTGAGGTCATCTCAGAAAAGGTGGATGCTGGGCAAAGCTAAGAACCCCAAGGATTGAAGCAGATTCCAGCCCTTGGTGGAGTCAGAGGAAGAGGGATTATTAGCCCATCAGTAAATCCCCTGGAAGGCAAAACACTGAGCTGGTGGTTGCGCCTTCCTTTCCTCCCTCGCAACTGGATGCATAGTAGAGGGCTTCCTGCCTCTAGCCCCATGCCCTTCCGAGGCTGCTGCAGCCTTTTCCTAGGCAGGGGGGCTGTTCCCAACCTAGCCTCCCTCTTCCAGCTCTAGGACTAAATTTCTATAGAAGGGTCAAGTAGCCACTGACCACCTCCAAAGTGGGTTAAGAGAGCTAATGGAGTCACATGGCTGCACTGTACCAATTAGACTTTTCAAGCACACTGTGTCCCCAACAGAAGTGACCCTCCAGCTGTGACTAGTGCCCCCCATTTGGCTCACAGTCAACTCAGGCAGACATAGCAAGTCTGTGAGCCCTAGACCTGTCTAGTATATCTTCTATAATCAAACCTGATTTCTTGACTAATTACGAATGTTTTTAAGTAGCCTGATCTCAAATCCTTGGCATACAATGTGAATTTTTAAAATAAATTTACATTTTCAGTTCTTAATAGCCACTCATGGGTATCCAATAAAGGCAGAAGTTTTGAAAATAGAAATTTATTTAAACAGAACAAACATCACCAATCAATATGCAGGTCACTAAGCTAGTGATCCAAACCCAGTTGCTGACCTTGTTTCCGGTCATTATCCTGTCCGTTTCTCAGTTACTGTATCAAGTCAGTAAAGTAGTGGACATGGCGATGTGGAGCTGCCCTCTCTCTCCCAACATCAGGGTTAGCTGTCCTGCCTCCCAAGCTGTGGGCTCAAAAAGCCATGTTCGTAGCCCAACGTAGAGAGATTTTGAAAGTTCTAGTTGAACAGTTAGAATCAACTATATAGTGATGTAACATTTCTTCCTCTCTTCCCATCCCATTTTACGGTGCTCTTCTGGGCGTGCCTGACCTTCTCCACCATGCAGAGCATACCTGGATGTCCAGGCAAGACTGGGCGAAGTTTCTGAGTGGCCCTTTGTTTAGGTGATGTCATCAGACCTGGACCCCCCACCAGCCTCACTTCCATCCCAACCAGAGATGGCTCACTTTGGATGGAGGGTTGATTCCATCTCATCATCTCACGAATCTGCTGTAATATAAGACAACAGCTTTTAAATGTGTATATAACTCATGATTTTGGTTTTCATTTTGTTTTGTTTTGTTTCTTGATGGTTCCTCTCCCCCTTCTCTCTTCCCCATCTCCTGTTAAATCTCTTTGAATCACATTTGGTAGTGATTTTTGACTTAGTCAGTAGTCCTATAGCTTTAATATCTAGTTGAAAGCTAACCATAGTGTAACTGTTATATTAAGGAATTATTTTTTTTCTTTAAAAAATTTATTATTATTATTTTTGCTTGTTTGATTCTGTTCTCACTTTTAAAGTATGCTGAGATGGTAATATTACTCTCGATATTTTGGTACCAATTCTGAGACTGTATGAATTTTCAGGTGGAAATTAGCACACACTGAATTGAAGTTGAGGAACGCAGAGTGGGCGGTGAACACAGCCTGTCTCCTTTGCGTTGTAGAAGTGAGATGTAGTAGGCTAATGAACAGACTCTAGCAATTCCTTTTGTGATGTCTCTCTGTTAACCTAAGTATATCTATTTTCGGCAATAAGGTAAGGACGACAATGTTTTGAGTGTCCTCCTTTTCTATAAGTGCTTTTTTTCTGTTGAAAGAGGTGATATAAGGTTTTTTGAAATTGTGAATTCTAAAAAAGAAATGTTGTAAATACAATTCCATTAACTACATAGAAACTATTAAGAAAGAGAGAATCAAAAATATTTTTGTGAGGGAGTCGATCCCAGGCAGTTTGACGCTGTGTGGAAGAAGGAGGGAGACAATGACATAGTCAGTTGCTGAGACTGAAGACCACCCAACTGCCAGGACGACCCCAGGAGAAGTTAGAACACTGTTTAGCTCCTTTTGTCTGTGTGATAGACCCAAGTACTGTATCAGTCTCATACCAGCATTTAATCTCTTGTCTGTGCACAGCTTCAAATGTTACCGTCTAGTTAGATTTTTATTTAAAATATGAAAAACTGCTTTTCCCAAGACGTTTTTTAAAATACAAAGCTACAATTTTAATATTTAACATATTTAAAATTTCAAAGCACACCTGTTTGGCTTGGGTGGGGTAGGTAGGGGGACATTCTTTTTCAGTCTTAATTTTTAAATATTTGATCATTTTCTATTGTCCAATCATTTCAGCACCTCCAAAGGTCCCTGGGACATTTGGCCTCTCTTCTCTCTGCCTGTCCCCCGACTCCGCCCTAGCTCTGGGGGCCCAAGGGCCAGGAGTAGATAAGCCTGCATTAATCAACTTTTTCTCCATCCACTTTCTATTGACAAATTAGTAAAGCAACCTTTTGGTTTATATTTTTTTTAATACCTCAGTGCTGCAAGTATCACCAGAGACGCTATGGGAGATTTGTTGTTTTTTTTTTTTAATTTATTGTAGATGTAAACAGAATTTTAAAAATAAAAAGTATAAACATCACTGCACTGTGACTGGTGGGAAAAACTGACAGTTTCCTGTTTGCACATTTCTTGATATTGGCTGTTATAATATATGGTCCTCGGTTGGGGAGAGATACTTATGATGAAGGATATTTTTTAATTTAACTTTTTTTTTTTTTTTAATATTGGTAATAAGTCGGCAACAGCAACTATAGAAGTACAAATCAATAGATGGCATTAAAACATATTGTAGTGTGGATATATATTATTTTTCTTTTTAAAAATGTGATATTGACGTTTTATTAATATTTTTTAAATTGTTACGTTTATAAATTTGGTACTTAAGGCACAGCCAGTATGAGACACTGAATGCTACATTTATTATAAAGAGCTGCTGCACCCCTATTTTTATAAATTTTACTAACAAAGTAGACTAATGTAGACATTCACAGATATGGTAGAGCACAAGCATCTTCAAACGAAATTCTCCAAACTACTAACTCAGAAAGAAAGAAAAAGCTTGTTTCAATTCTAATTAAACCACAATGACTTTTTTTCTTTAAACCATGTTCTTTTGTGTTTCCAACAATAATGTTAGGTTGTTTCGTAAAGGTTTTTTTTTGTTTTGTTTTGTTTTCTTCCTTTTAATTTCCAAACAACCAGGTTAAGGAAAATGCTGGGCACTTTTAAAATATCAAAACTCGTTTAAGTAATACAATAACAAAATAGAAATTTTATTTAAAATAAAACCACACACACAAAAAAAACTCAAAAAGACAATAACATTCTAGAAATTCAGTGTCTAGACTAAGGGATTTAGTTACTCTTTTGTCCATGTTGGTGGTGTACAAGCCTCTTGCTTTCTCTGCCTCCCCTGTCACCCCATAGAATCCTCTTTCTTGGTCATAGTCTGTTAATAATGTATACAACGGCTATCTTGTAAGCGTGCTGTCCTGGTACTACTATTAGTGACTTTTTCCTTCTCTTTCTTCTAGTACATAATGATAGGTATAATGTAATTAAGGTTTTAAAAAATTAGACATAGTTATTCAGATTTAGGACCAGTAAGGATAGAACTTTCTCTTATTTATGGAAAAAAAAGAAACAACAACAAAAAAAAACATGCTAATCATTTTGGGGCAGTTTTTTCCTTTCTTGTTTTCTTTTCTTTCTTTCTTTGATTATTTTTTTTTTCAATTTCAAGTTTAATTTTGTTTTTGCTGATCTGATGTGGTTTCAACTAACCCAAGGTCTCACAATGTTAAAATGCCCGCAGACTCCAAGGCATTTTGTGGATCCCCACCCCACCCCCCAACTGTGAAGGGGTGTGTCATACTACCTTAAAAGCTAACGCTAGATATGCAAAACTGGATTTTTTTAATTTATTTTTTAAAAGAGGGAGGCATGGTATATTAAAATGATTTTACTAAGAGAAAAAATATTTTTTTAAGAATGCTCAGAAGAAATTGATAATCTGTGTGAATATGTTTTAGATGTTTATATACCTTTTGAAGAGACCCAGTAACCCATAGCACAAATCTCATGGAAATCTGATATGTTTCAATGTGGCTACCTAGGTTAAGGTTCACGTTAGTCTCTCCCCCCTCCCCCCCAGCTCATTTAGAAATCCATTTTGAAAGAGTTTTGTAAATTATTTTAGCATTGGTGTTCAGCCTCGTCTTTGTTTCAGTTAAGCTCATTGGCGAATAAGGGACCCACCCTCGCCTTCCCTCTTGGCTGATGGCTTTTCCCCCTGGATTTATAAAATAGCTACTGGGTGACTTTCTGGCTTCCAGATCCATCTGCCTGGGACCCCCAAACTCCTCTCCTTCCAAGCAAAGGAGAGTGAGTGGCATTAGTTCCTGGGCCCCTTCCTGGCTCTGCCTGGGTATGGAGCTGATGGAGATGACCAAGCTTTTGGCCTCCTCCCCAGGAGCTGTCGCATACTTGGTTCGTGGCCTTCCTTACACCCACTGGGACAACCAAACAGCCTCGCATTCTATCCCTCTCGCTCATTGGCTTGATTCAAACGAAACCCCAACTGGCCTTTGCATTTCTATCCTTCATATCTTCATCTTAATTTGAACTTGTAGCTTGGACTTTAAGGTAGCATGGCTCTATTGCTGGCAACCTAATGTTTCACTGCACAGCAATTCACAGCCAGTGCATGTTACACACATATCTTGGTAGACTAGTATAACAATCATTGGGTAATTGTTGGTTCTAATGACCTGAAAGGTGTTCAATTTTTGGTTTGGTTTGGTTTTTGTTTGGGGGTTTTTGTTTGTTTGTTTGGGGGTTTTTGTTGTTGTTATTCTTTTTCATTTGGGGATTTTGGAGGGGAAAACAATGTCTGTTTTTGTTCCAAATAGAAAAACAAAACCTATTTTGATCTTTAGTGCAAACGAGGGCTAGGGACTTAGCCTCCACCAACCACCATACTGCTTCATTCTGCCATTTACTCACTGCAGCATAATCAAGAAGAAAGCAATATAGTTTACTACATTTTTTATTGAGGGTCAGCCATGCTTTCTGTATTATATTGCATATGAAATTGTTTACAAAAGAAACACTAACTCATACTTATCTTTATCAGTTGGAAATGGCACACAGGGACAGAGGGAAACTGGGGGGCAGGGTGGGGAAAGGTAGGATCTTTTTTTTGTTTTTTCCCTTGAATGTGCTTCAATAGTCAGGCTATCTATCTTCCAAGGGAAGTTGGAAGCAAGGCAGGCAGCAGGTAGAGAAGAGGGTGGGTTACAGGTGAGCACATTAGAGAAGCTAGCGGTTTCCTCACCCTCCCCTGAAGCAGAAAACAAGCAGGTCAGCTCAGCCCAGTTCTGGGTACAGACACTACACAGGAGATGCTGTAAGTTAAGCAATACTTTAATACTGTAATCTGTTTGTTTTCGTTTTCTTTTTACCAAAAAATAAGAAATAAAAAAAAGTAAGCAAACTAAAACACACACACACATTAAAAAAGAAAAGAAAAAAAAAAAATATATATATATATATATAACACCCCTCTGGGGCAACAAAATTAATCCAAACACTCTGCTATCATATAGAATCAGAATGTATTGTCCCGGACAGGATTTCACTTCTGGGAGGCAGGGGCATGAGGTGGGAGGGAGATGGGGTCTGAGAGACAGAAGTTCCAGAGCCTCCCTGGAACGCTCTCTACTACTGTATTCTGTACATATACTGTTCCATCCCGCGTGGGATCTGTGAGTGTCCTCGTGAGTAGCGTGGGCTAGCCAATCTGCCGTCCATGGTGTATTGTAAACTCGGAATTCCATATGTAATAGAATGCAAGTCTAAGCATTTCATGTGGACATCAATGTATCTAAATAAAACTTTCCCTAGCACTGTGGCTGACCTCACCCTTACTTTTATACTTTAGTATGAAACTGATGAGAACTTTGGTAGTGAGTATTTTTTTTATATATATACATATATATGTATCTATATATATATATATCTCAAGCATCTTTCAGGTCTTTGTGTGTGGCTTTCTTAAAGCCCTGTTGTAAAAAAATTACTATGTGGATGGCAGTCTCTCACATCACAGATGTGGAAAGTATAATTTTATATTTGTATTTTCAAATAAATAAGTTTGTGAAAGGTTTCCATCCTCTACTGTGGTCCAGAAATCAATGTGTTTGTCTGACAAAAAAAATAATTAAATAAAATAAACTGTTTTGAACAGAGTTGTTTGGTATTCTTTTACTAGGGTGGAAGGACAGAAATTGGGGAGAACTATGGGTTGGTTTGGGGACATTGGTCTCCAGGCCTCTGCGGGAGACTAGCAGAGCCATTTTTTATGAAGTGACCAGAAAACACTGAGATGAAGGAATAGATCAACAGCAGATGCCTCAGAACCTAAACGAAAAAAATCAGAGAAACCAAATGTGAATGTATACTGAAGGAGCTAAGGGGCTCAATCTGTTAGCATGGAGAAGCGTCAAACCAAATTTCATGAACCAAGACGGAAGGGTCTGAAAGGCGCATCAGGAATCCTGACCTCTAGACCTAAGAGTTTGTCTGTTGTCAGGTAACATCAAAGCAATTCCAACTCATAGCGAACCATGTACATCAAAAGAAAACACTGCCCAGTCCTGCGCATGCTCATAATCCGTGAGATGTTTGAGAGCGCCGATCCAGCCCCTTGAGGATCTTCCTGTTTTTTCACCGACTCTTTACTGGTAGCGTAGTGGTT